AAGGTGGCTCTGATACCAATTGTTGGGTTTTAGTTCAAAAATAGTTTCATAAACTAAAAAAATATGGCAACGGAAGACTTTAATTTTGAAATAACATAAACATTTTATACCCACCAAGGATCTTCTTGCAAGTTACAGAAAAATTAAAAACATCAACCATAGAAAGGATGAAGAAATAACAACCTTTGTAGTTCTTTGGGTCCTCTTGGGAGACTTGGAAGTTGATGAAGAATGTAGAACCTTTGAGACACCAACAATGACTCAACTTGATATAGATGCTAGTCCAAAACTCTTAAACTCTTAAGCTTTAAGTTCATAACCAATATGGACTTAAAGAAGGCATGAAGATGCAAGTATTCTTGAAGAAAAGAACAAAAGGGAGAGAGTAACATGCTCTAAGCATGTTACGGTTTTAAGATGGAGGAATGGAGCAAGTCATTCAAGAATGCAAGCCTCTTATTATATATATATATATATATATATATATATATATATATATATATATAAAGTGAAAGTATTAACCATTAGGTCTTAACACTTTAAGCACATATGTCCTTATGTCATAAACATGACTCCTATGTTTCATTTCTTTTGAATAAACTAATGGAAAGCTCGTGACTCCTTTCTTTTCCTCTAATTTTCGGAATTATATATAAAAAAAGAAGAGTTAGTTTAAATTTTATAAACTCACGTTTTATAAAGTATAGACTTTGTCTTTTGAGTAAAAGGCAAAAGGGTTTCAACTAGTCCAAAAAGTTGTACACAACTTATTAATTCATACCATATGAATTATGTAATATTACTTGCTAATAAAAATTGTTATTTCCATGAAATAAATAATTTCCAATTTAATTATAAGAGTTTTATTGAATATTTATTAAAATCAATTTCTAATAAATAATCAATTATATCAAGTTGTTGTTAGTGACCCATTAGTATCATATGTTAATTAGCAATATCACTTTAATATGACTCTTGAGTATACTAGACCTTTCACGAGGATCATGTCAATCTATTTGGATGTTTACATATATCTAATAGATTGCACTCAACTTTCTTTAAAATACTCTGTAGATTAGCAATATTTCTCTAGTTCTTTGTAAGTACTTTAGAATGCTCCTATCAGTCATATGATGACTAATTCTTGAGTTATACTGGTATTTATTCATCATGCTACAAGGAATACGACTTATCTGGCCTTCATGCGTAACATGGAATACATTCATACTATCTAGCTCAACCATTATACAAGTATTATGACGTATGCTCAAAATCATGTCATGTGGTATTCTTAGAGTCTTATATCTTAAACTCTTCAAGATCTTGACAATTAATGCAGTTTTACTAAATCTTTTAAGTTTCTATGATCTATCTATATAGATCTTTGTTCCAAGAATTTGTATTTGACTAAATACAAGACTAGAAATGTTACTGCGCTCTTACTAGTTTTCTAGTAAACACAAGAGTCGTCTTGATTTATAAACAAATCACACTATGCAATTTATTATAATAAAGAAGATTCTTACTTAGAGATGTTGGCTTTAAACCCAAAGAGATTTTCATCTATGTATGTGTTCTCTTTTGAAAACTCTCTTACTCTTTGTAGTTTACTATATCGAGGAAGATTAATCAATCTATACTTGATTATCATACATAAATACATCTCTATGTGTTCTATTAGTTTCTGATCAACTATTTGAAGAAGTTAAATAATTATTGAAAAACTTGCTAGCTCTAAACTATGATGTATTTAGTTTATGGTTCTTTAACCCTTACAGTTCCATATTGCTCCCACTTAGAAAAAGAACTTTCTAAGTGTATGTCTTCTGGAATGACAATCAAAGGGATTGTAAAAGCTTCATCCTAAACAATCATTTAGGATAGTCTACGTAAATGCAATTAATAGATCTCATGTTTAGTTAAGTTTATTGTCTAACATAAGCTCCATAACTCTATACCTTTTAGATAAGGATAGAGAATTCCATCATTAGTCTAATGAAGTTATTTAATCTACTTGTTTGGTTGGAAATATATATTCAATGCGGAAAACTTTAGGGGATGTTGTGCAGTCATGTCGTGCCCTTCCCTTTCGGACCGAAAGTACCTGAAACCGTAAATATGAAACCGTAAGCACAAAGCTTAGTGAGTTCCCCAAAATACCACATACCAAAACATACACGTGTCATGAGCTACCCCTGCGGTCTTTCCTTGCAATGTCGAGGGCCAAATCCCAGTATTACATATAAGTGTCAAGGGCCAGATCCTGGTCTTTCATACAACTGCCAGGGGCCAGATCCTGGTCTTTCGTACAATTGTCTAGGGCCAGATCCTGGTCTTTCATACAACTGTCAGGGGCCAGGTCCTGGTCTTTCGTACAATTGTCAGGGACCATATCCTGGTCTTTCATGTAAGCATCACAGAGACAACTAGCATTCCACGTAATGGGTCGGCATTGGTGTCTTCGGCCCATGGATATAGTGAGAAAACTCATCTCACAGTCTGAAAGAATAGTTGCACTGATCACTGCTCTAAAAGTTATCTCTACCAATCATCTATACAATTAACACGAACCCAAATCTCAAACTATAAATCAAAATTACCCAAAATGTCATTAGGTCAAACTAGGTCAAAGTAAAAAGTCAATCGAGTCGACCGGGTTAACTCGGTTGAGTATGTTGGGCGTACTCAACATATACGTGGGGCGTACTACGCCTTGACCAAAAGTCGAGGGGCTGACCACATGCGCGCAGCGTACCCTTTGGTATGCCCAACATACGCGACTGACATCCTCCCAATCCATTAAGAGCTTAATCCTTTAAGCTCTTTCGTCCAAAATCCAGATCTAACCCTCAAATGATATCCTTAACCATAAAGTTTCCAACTTTATGGTCTTGCATGGCTATTAAGTCTTCAAGATCAAAAAACCCTAACTTCTTAACCCATTAAGACATCCAAGACCAAGCATGGAGGAAAACTAGGGACCAAGGTCACATTTTTATGGTTCCTAATGACTCCATAATGGATAAAGTTTCCAACTTTATCCATTAGAATGGTCCAAACATCCAAGATCTAGTCTTTAAGTCTCAAAGGGACCAAAAGTGCATCTTTTTCAACTTAATACATTAAGTCCAAGTCTCCAACCTTTAGATCTGAATCAATATGATGTTTAGATGGATAAAGTTTCCAAATTTATCTATAACAAGGTCACAAACTTTCAAGATCTAAACTTTATGCACTAGAGTGACCAAAAGCTCATAACATCCAAAACTAGCTAGATCTAACAAATGCATCATCAAGATTCAAGCTTTTTACCTCTAAAAGAAAGATCAAGATGAACAAAGCCTAGATCTACAAGCTCTAATGCAACCAACACTTCTTCAATGAGTTCCTTCATCTCCAATGTGCACCAAGAACACTCCAAAGCACTTAAAAACACCTTCTTTTTGCTCACAAGGCTCAAACTAGGGTTAGGGTTTCAAGAAAGGGTGGTGGAGAGATGAAGGCTGAGAATAGAATGGGTTTGGGGAAGTTAAGGAGCTTAAATAAGGCTCAAACCACGAAAATAAGGTTTGGGCACTGATCGCATACGCCCAACGTACTTAGGATACCCTAGTACGCCCAACATACTTCGCCCTATACGCCCAGCGTATGCGGTTAACCCAAAACCGCCCTAACTTCAAACGGTCATAACTTCTTCGTTCCAACTCCGTTTTCGACGATTTTTATATCCACGGAAATGTATTGAAGAGCGCTACAATATTATCTAAATATATTGGACTAAAAACTTCTCGAATAAAAATCCATATTTCATGCAAGAGGCCTATGACTTTTCCCATTTTACCCTTTGACTCCAAAACACAATTGAAAGGTTTAGATCTCATAACCATCATTGCCTCCTTTAAAAATGTCTAAACATCACCTCATTAAGGCTCAAAGCCTTTACACAATCGACTTCCGACCCATGGCCCTGAATCACAGAATGATCTTGAACAAGATGTTACATTTATATATAATACAAAATTTAAACCGGAGAATGAACTTTATTCTAGTATTTGTATTGGTTTTCTATTTCACCAAGTACTTATATTGTCAAAGTTAGATTCATTAAAGTAATTGATTGCTAATTCACCAAGTACTTATGTTTTAAATTGCATTTTTTTCGAAAAAATTATACTTGTAGTCTCGGAGAGGTTGAAGCTGACCATTTTGATTCAACCCGATTTTCTCAAAAAAAAAATAGTACTTTCACACGAGAAAAGCAGATTTCTGAAACTTATCGTCATTTATAAAAAAATAAAAATAATAAAAATAATAAAAAAAAACTTGGGTTTATATAATTTAATTTGTCGGACATTAGGCCTAAGGACCTTTTTTTTGTGGTTCGTCCTGGGCATTTGAATCATCCGGACCGGCCCTATTAGCCACCAAATTAGAATAGTTTATTCTTAAAGGCAATTCATACAATAATTCGACCAATGTAACGTTATACATTGCATAACTTTTTTGATTTTCTTTGAAGACCCTCCAATACACACAATAGTACTCTAAATGCTTCATTGGATAAATCATTTTGATTTGTACTGTATTTAGTTTGAAAAACTGTGGAAATTACGTCCGAAGATATTGAAGATGAAGATATAAAACTAGAAAATATACAACAAAAAAGAATCACAATTACACGACATATAATAATTTCGAAATTGGAGTACACAATATGACAAAAGTACTTGTCAATGTTTTCTAAAAAACAAAGTGACAAAATTACTTGTCAATGTTTTCTAAAAATTTAGAGCTTCGATATACAAGTTGCGAAATAATAATTTAAACGAACCAATTTAAAATTTTATGGTCACGATTGCATTTTTATTACTAGTTGATTAACAGATTAGCGTACAAAACATAATGTACTCTCTAGTTAATTTTTTATTTTCTATTTATTTATTTATTTTAAATGTGAAATGTTATATATTTGTAAGCAATAGGATTTCCGTATGTGGTATGTAATAAATTAGCGCGTTTAGGTGGAAATAAAGGAGGTTCCAGGAAGCAAGTGTGTCCAGACTCCACTCCAGTGTCCACAGACACGTAGAGAGGAAGCAAGCAGACCAAGTCCAAGTCCAAGTCCTCTCTCCACTCTCGTCAATATTTTTCTTCCGTCCCGTCATCTGATCGAAATTCGATTGGCTAATCACATTCAACAATGAACTTCATCACAACCCTCTTCTTCTGCGTCTTACCTCTCTTCTATGCACCATTCCAAGGATGCTATTCAGCAGCCACTCCGCCCGGGGATCACACCTCCTCCGTCGTCCTTCCAGTCACCGGAAATGTTTATCCTACCGGGTACGCAGACCTCACACCTATTTTCTTCATTTTAATTTCTATAGATTATTGATTTTAGTTCAAATCTGTTTATGCAAATTCATTGTGGGATTGATTACGATTTACGAAGCTTGTGGAATGTATGTTTTCATCAATTGATGTTCCTCTGTTACATGTGTTATGAATTTCTCTCGGTTTGTTTAATAATTGAACTTTTAGTACCTTTACACCATGTCGCTTTTTTCCTTTTTTTTTTTTCTTTATTACCTTTTTAAACACCTCCTGCTTAAATGTTAATATTAATAATTTCTTACCCACTTTTCATCTTTCATATACTTGAAGCACGAATGCATCTTTTTCCTATTTATATACATACAAACATACCTTGCCTGACTTCAAAATGAGGTTTCTGTGAGGACTTACAAATCAGTTCCACTTTTTTTTATGATTCTAGGGTTAAATACAAGAAATAACAATTAGTTTGTTTAATATATCTATAGCTATAGCATTGGTGTTAACTGTTATAATCGAGTATTTTTTAAAATATAATATTACAATTGAAAAAGAATTGAAATTATAATGCTGCCATAATTAGGTAGACCTATAAAGTATGATGTTCTGTTAAGAAAAAAAAAATATTATGGAACTCAAAAGTAGGAAAATATAGAATAGTTCTCCCCAAGCATTTTGAGTTTCGAGAAACAAAAAGAGAGGTGAAAGCTAGTTTATAATTGTAGGGTTAAATACAAGAAATAACTTGATTTGTCTATTATTGCATTTTACCTTTACATATTATGGGTTTAGGCTTTGGTAGGTTATTATTTTAAATAAAAATGTTTGTATGCAGATACTATCATGCGACATTGAGCATAGGAAATCCACCAAAATCATATTTTTTAGATATAGACACAGGCAGTGATCTGACTTGGCTTCAATGTGATGCACCTTGCACCAAATGCACCCCGGTAAGTAACTCTTCCCTTAATAAAAAAAAAATATAAATAAAAAAAAAAAAGTTATGTTTTTCTGTATTAATATTTGGTTGTTGGTTGTGTAGGCACCTCACAAGCCTTATAAGCCTAACAAGGAACTCGTGGAATGTATGGATCCACTTTGCGAATCTGTTCATTGGCCGGAAACACACCAATGTCAATCTCCTAAAGAGCAGTGTGACTACACCGTTCAATACGCGGATGATGGATCGTCTATTGGTGTGTTGGTTAAAGACTCCTTTTCCTTACAATACATCAATGGAACCGTAGCCAAATCCGTTCTAGCATTCGGGTCAGACCATCTTTCATCTTTTCACCTCGTTTGTTACACGACATAATAAATTCTACTTGTACTGTGTTTGGCATGCATTGGACTGGGACTGAGACCGATGTCAATGGGACAAAAATTGCAATTTTTAATGACTTGTAGTTTTATGTTTCAGATGCGGTTACAATCAGGAAGTTCCGGCCTCGATGGATCCGCCTTACACGGACGGAATCCTTGGTTTGGGTTTAGGCAAAGCGAGCATCTTACATCAACTGAGGGAACTTGGTGTTACAAGAAGTGTTGTGGGTCATTGTCTTAGTGCAAAAGGAGGAGGATATCTTTTTTTTGGTGATCAACTTGTCCCTTCTTCAGGGGTTGTTTGGACACCCATGTCCACAACCGAAATAGAGTAAGTTACTAACTACTTTTAAAATATTTGGCATCGCATCATTCATTCTTCTGCATATTACACTTAACTTTCACCATTTTTTTATTTATTTTTCAGAAAACACTACTCTTTGGGAACTGCTGAGCTCTTTTTGGGTGGAAAAACAACTAGGATGAAAGGTCTTCCTATAGTGTTTGATAGTGGAAGTACCTACACTTACTTTAGTGGAGAAGCTTATAAAGCTCTATATTCCATGGTGAGGGAAAAATATTCTTGACTTCTTTTTAACTGACAGATATCTGTAAATTTAGTTCCACCCAAAAACATGGAACAAACAAAAATTTGTTTTCAATCTATTGTCTGTGCAAAAGACGTGAATGCCCTAGAGATTAGGTTGTTTTTACCATTTTGTGATGTTGGGGACTAATATCAAAACCTATGGGTGCACTGCAGCTTATGAACGATATGAAAGGAAAGAAGGTTTATATAACAAATGAAGATAAAAGCCTCCCAGTATGTTGGAAAGGGTCAAAACCTTTCAAGTCAATTTATGATGTCAAAAACTTATTTGAGCCAATAATTTTGAAGTTTAAAAAGTCAAAGTTGCAGTTGAACCCTGAATCATATCTCATCATCAGTGTAAGTGATGTGAACTCTTAAAAAAAATAAAAATTCATTTCAGAATATAGTTTTAACATTTGCATACCTTGTTCCAGAAAAACGGAAACGCCTGCTTTGGGATTTTAAACGGTTCAGAAGTTGGCCTGGGAAACATTAATGTAATTGGAGGTAATAAGTTAAATAATTAATTATTACTTGATTTAAATCCTGTGTAGATGTAGATTATGAATTACAAAGTTGCTTACTTGGTATTTGCAGACATATCATTTCAAGACAAAATCATCATTTATGACAATGAGAAACAGCAGATCGGATGGACTCCTGCAAACTGCAACAGGCTCCCAAAGTCCTGACTCCTTCTCTTATAATAATTTCTTTATAAAAGAAAAAAATAATAATAATAGAGGAAAATAATTGTTAAAACAGGAACTTTTTATTGTTTATTAACAGCATGGATGATGATGATGATGGTGATGGAGAACCAGATAGTGCAAGCCTTTGCAAGCCCTACGGGTCCAACTTGGGCATTTTACCACCCTATTGTACTGCAAAGTGACATGACACCTAGTTAGTTGGTTTGATTCATAAATAAAGAGAGCTTCCAGATTCCGGACCTAAGTGCAATTATTATATATATTATATATTATATATATTTAGCCAGTAAATACATAATGTTTGTTTAATTGTTACAAGATGTAACTTTTTAGTACTGGCAAATGTACATTCTCTGACTGAGTACATGGAAATTTTGAGGAAATACAGACATCTAAATCAAATCCCGCATTATCGTTTTTTCTTTATATTTGTAATTCCTCCAACTGAATGTGGCATCATCAAATCACCGGTACAATGCCTGCTTCATTGACAACCAAAAAAACTAATCACAATTTAGCATTAACAAGAAATGTTCAATTGGGATTTATTTCCTTTAAAAGACATTGCTTAAATTCAAGTGTGTGTGTGTGTGTGTTACCTTTGCATGGCAGATTTTGGTTATTGCCTCAACATGTAAGTTTTGTAGCTCCTCCAGTGAAGTAATGTCCAAACCAGCAATATCATCACCCTGAAATGAAAATATTAAGTTAATGTAAGAAAACTGCATTATCTGAAGGGAAAAAAAAAAAAAAAAAAAAAAAAAAAAAGGTAAATGTATGTACCTTCAATCTTGAAACATAAGTGTCGAGTTCCCGGCACCTTTGTGTTTCTTTATGGTACAAAACTCTTAATTCATCCAGATCCAGTGACCTTGTCTCATCAAGACCAGAAAAGACATTATCTTCAATAACTTTGTTGTTTTCAGACAAGATGTTCTTGGGCTCACAAGTATGAGACTTTTGTAAATTTGCAACAAGTCCCCACATTTTAGCAAGCTCGGTTTCCAAATCTTCCTCATGTTGCTTTGCAGCATCTAGTCTCTTTCTCAGCTCAATTTCTAACTTATCTCTTTCAGAAAGTGCACCAATCAAAGAAGCTTCTCTTTGGTGTCTTGCATTAAGCTCTTGTTGCAACTCCTCTATAAGCATACCATTACCTTCTTCAGGTTTTCTCACACACGTATCGATATTTTTTCGTGAATGAAATGACGTGGATCTTTGAGATAAGGCCTCTTTTGTTGCTGCCAGGTCAGCATTGAGTTTGGCATTTTGGTAGGAAAGTTTTGTTACTTCTGCAGCTAAGTTTCTGAGCTCAACAGCTGCAGCTGCAGCCAGCTCTTTTGCGTATGAACCTTCATCTGCTAGTTTTTGGCTGCAAATCATAAGCCCATCCTTTTCTTCACTCATTTGCACTTTCTCTTTCTTCAATGTCTCAATTTCTGCAGCCTGGACCATCACAAATTGACAATGTACTTTATTTTTTACCCATTATTGCCAACATAATTAAGAATAATAACAGTATGTAATCTGAAACTTGTAAAACGCTTACAAATATTAAAATCACATAATAATGCTATTATTGGTAAATGACTTAAGTAAGTTGCTATCAAAGGTAGAGAAATATAAGTACGTTGCTATATGGGTAAATAAATGTACGTATATTGCTATTAATGGTAAAGATACTTTGTTTTTACCCATAATAGCAACGCACACTCATTTCTTTATAATAGTAGCCATGTATAACCTGAAACGTGTGAAATGCTTACAAATCTTAAATTATATACTTTTAATACTGGTAAAAGGATTAAGCACTTTACTGTTATGAGTGAAGATACATAAGTATGTTGCTAATATGAGTAAAAACGCATGCAAGTACATTGCCATCATGGGTAAGAAATCAAATGCATTTTATAGGTCTCATACACCAGTAAAGAAATGTAAGTATGTTGCTATAATGAGTAAAAACAGAAGTGTGTTGCTATTATGGGTAAAAGAAAGTGCATTGCCTGTATTGATAGCGAGAGTGAAGTAAGTTTAAGTTTATAATTTGCGTGATGATGTTAATGAAAATAACAGACAGCAGGTGTTTACATCAGATAATGGCTAAAATGAGGAAAGGGATTTAGTCAAACCTGAATAAGAAGCTGAGAATTCAAAGATACATCACTACTACTGCCTTGTATGAATTCATCTTGGGAGAATACTTTATTTAAACTCATAACACTAGTTGGTGTACTTTCATTCATGTATTTTTCTTCATTTTGGTGAACAACCCAATCTCGTCCACCATTTTTCATTTGAAATGATTCTTGAGAACATGGATCAAGTGTGGCACTTCTGCAATCTGTACTTTGTTGTTGAGGACTCGAAATGTTATCTGACATTAGAGACTCCAGTTGTTGCCTTAGCAAAAGAATGGTTTGTTGCATTTCAGCATTCTCAGATACCTTAACAGCAGTACTTGGTTGTTAGTTATTTTAACAATGAAGGTTAATATTTCTGCAACTGATTAATTGCAAGAAATAGTGATGTGCTTTCATTTATTTCTCTATTATTAGCATCCTACTTCCCTTTCTTTTTTATTACAGCATTGTACTTTTCAATTTTTTTTCTAATTGACGCGTTGTACTCTGAAAAATATCCATCATTATAGCATTGTACTTCAACTTTCTTCCCATTGCTATAATTGGGTAGATAGAGTTTTCAAAGTACAATGTTCTAACAGTAAGCAATGAAAGTAGGATGCAATAATACACAAATTTACGTTGGTGTTTCTTGCATTTTTAGTACACTACTACCTTCACTTGTAGCTGCTCCTGAAGAATCCTGTTATCTGCTGTTTTTATCTTTTCCATACATAAAATAAACAACTATTTTGTTAGCACCATTTAACACCATGTTATTAAGAATTTAACCAAAAAATACCTCAAGTTCGAATATTTTTTCATTTAGTTGAGTAACAAGCTCGGAGGGAACCTAAATAGACACATATATGCACATTGAGACAATAAATCAGTATATAAGAATATATATTAAGGAGAAATAACAAAAAAAGTTAATAACCATATATAGAACATTTTACATATATTTTAAATATTAGTGGTGTTTTTAGTTAAATGGATCGTAAATGTTATGTAGATTCACATATTACCTGAGATGTCTCAAAGCTATTTAAATTATGTGTATTCATCTCAACTGAACTGATCATTCGTTGCTCCAGTAGATGCATCTGAAATTTCTTCCCTCTAATCTCATATTTCAAGTTTTTCATTTGTTCCTAATCAACATAATAATCCAACCATCAATGCCACAGTTGGAAGATCGGCTTTATTAATAATCAAAAACACACACTGTGACTGTGGGAAAATAGCTGACCTGGAGTTGCGAGTCGTCGGGTCTATTAGCTGCTTGCTCAGAGAGCCTCTTGAGAGAACTGGTGCAAAGTGCCACCTCACCAGATAACATTTTCACTTGCTCACGAAGAAGGTCCATTTGGTCAGTAATAGTAGTTCCTGTCTGAAATAGTAAATGACCATTTTACCCTTTTGTGTGTAATGGAAGTGAGGTTGAATAACAAATGACTTTGTTTTTTACTTAATGCACAAAAAAAAAAGACTTAATAGAGAAAGTCAAGGAATGAAGGCTTTCCCCATTAAGTCCTAACTCCTAACTATTTACAAATTTGTCCTCATGTGCCTTTATTTTCTCACTCAAATACTTTTTAAACATCATTTACACTGAAAGCACTTAATGGGGAAAAAAATACAAATAAGGCCATGAAACAGTAGAATTTCTCTCACCGGAGGTAAATGGCGACCTCCAACAGTTGCACTAAACAAATCACCTGCTTGTGTTCTTTGTGGAACTGCCACATCATCGCCTCTTCTTCCAACTGAATTTCTCATTCCTTCCCTCATATCACTAAGCATGATTCTTGTGTTTGATGATCTGGAGGATGCAGGTGAACCGCTTGCAGAGCTTTCAAGATCAGTATATGGTGATAAGCCAGCCAAATGATCAGGTTTCTGCCAAAAAGAACTCGTAAATTATAACCAAATTATTATATTTGTATTATTTCTATAAGTGGGTTAAATGCAAGGAACAGCAATGTACTTTGATTCACTTGTGCATTATAGCAATTTTTTCAGTTCTTTTTATTACAGCATTTTACTTTCGGTTTTTTTTCTTATTAAGGCATTGCACTTTGAATAAATCTACCCAACTATAGCATTGTACTTTTAAATTGTTCTATTAAGACATTATGTTTTAAGAAATCTACCAAATTATAGCAGTGAGATTTGCATTGATAATGCTATGATTTAGATTTTTCAAAGTACAAGGTTGTAATAGAAAGACATAACCCAATATACGCCTACTGGATTGTCCACCTTGATAACAAAAACTTCACACCTCTTTTGTAGAAGTATAATCCAAATCATATGATATTAGAAGTGACAACAAATTTGAAGAAAAAAGGTAGAATAACAACAAATTTATAATAGTTATCAGATTTCAGAATATCCATATATACGTCACTACAGTAGGAATCTGCATTTAGATTACCATTGTTGTTGCAATATTTTCTACCCAAAGTCTTAAAATGGAACCACTACGAGCAAAATTACTAAATATTTTTAACTTCATAAGCAAACTGCCATTGACTATGATCAAAAAAGTAAGTCGAAACATTTAATGAAATTGGGTTAAATGCAAGAAATAGCAACATACTTCCGTTTATTAGTTTATTGTAGCATCCTACTTTCATTTCTTTCAATTACAACATTGTAGTTTGAAAATGCTACCCAATTAAAGCAATGTCAGCCAAATACAAAGCAACTTTCATTGCTATAGTTAAGTAGAATTTTTAAAGTATAACGTCCTAATAAGAAAATAAATGAAAGTGCAATGGTTTAATTGGGTAGATTCTCAAAGTGCAATGCCTTCATGAAACAAAACTGAAAGTACAATAATACATGGAAAGCAACCAAAACAGAATGAAGTAGTTAAATACCTGATAGTGAGTGATTATTTATAGAATATTATTTATTTGACATTTTGTTGGTAGTTAAATAAACAAATAGGAAACAAGAAAATCATACTTTAAGTTTGAACCATCCAAGCATTCCTCTTCTTCTATTCTTTCTGTAATCTTTGACCAGCTCATCAAGATCAGCCTTCCCCTGTCCTGAAAACTCAGAATCAATGCTTCCAGCATCATCATCAATGAAGATCCCCCGTTTTTTCTCTGGCAAGTATACTAGCTGTGAAAAAGTGCAAACTATTAAAT